GGCACCAAGCCCACTTCAGCTGCCCAATAAAGATAGCAGTGTCTTCAGAGGGCAGAGGGATGTTTTTCAAAAACACAAACAAGGAGATAAGGTTTCTGTGATTGCCAAGCCTGCTGATAAACACTCAGGACCCAAAGCCACAGGAACTTCTGGGCAAATGTTGTTTCTTCTCTGCACTTAAGAGAACAAACACCACTTGGTTTTGATAGCAGTGGCTGTGTCACATTCCCAGAGTGAGGGGAGCAGCTCTGACCCATGTACCCTCTGATCTGAAGTACCTTTCTACCTGCCCACTGACCTCCCAGGTCTCCCCCTGTGGAGACTAAGTATGTTTGCAGCCTCAGCCAACCAGCAAAGCTTTCAAGCTGCACATCTTCACACCTCTACAAGTCCTAGCTCAATAGTCTAATAAACTATTACAGCTACAAAATATTTCACCTTGCAATGAGTCCTGAAAGCTCCCCCATTTTATTAGTCCAGGCATCCCCATTTTCCCCAAGATTCCCATTCCCTTAGAAGGCTAATGTCATCCTGGTTTCCACAGGGTCCACTCTTCATTTCCTTGCTGTATGGTTTGCCCCAGCTCTGAGCCCTTTGTCAGCCAGGCACAATGCTCTACTTCTCCATTAAAATAAGCATGTGCAGAACTTTCCTTTTCCTTGCCTCATGTAATTCTCTTTTGACTCCAAGGAACTGGCCTTAGCATGATTACTTGGAGGAGCAAATTCCAAAGCAGGAATTTTAGCCTGAAGAAGAAACTCCAAGGGCATGTAATGCAGGAGAAAAAAAATGTTAGAGTTTAGTAGTGAATGAGAAAGTAACTTTTCTACACAGCAAGAATAGCTTTAACTGGTGTTTGCATCATAGTCTGAAGGGGGGGAGATGTCTGAGTAGGATTAGGCATCATTGTTTGGATAATTAGTTAGAAATCAGCTCCTGAGGAACCTCAAAGAGTTTAGCAGCTCTCCCTCAGACCACATGAGCATCCTAAAGGTTGGGTTTGTTTTGCTTGCAATGTGGATATGGTGGTATTAGGTCAAATTGGACTGGATGATCCTC